GTACAGCAGGACCCCTGGCCAGGGGTAATGAGCCAGAGCGTCCACGCCTAAGGGCGGCTCGTCCGCGGCCCTTAAGGCGAACCAGGACGGGCACTGTGCGTTCTCTGCACTGGCGAAAAGGTCGACCACTGGACGGCCGAACCTCCGCCAGATCTCTGCAGCTACCCGTGGGGCCAGGCCCCACTCGTCCTGGAGTGGGCCCCCCCTGGACATCCTGTCGGCCCCCACGTTCCGGACCCCCGGGACGTGGCGCGCCCTGAGAGACAGGAGGTGAAGCGCCGCCCACAGCAGCGTCACCGTCGCCATGCGATGGAGAGCGGGGGACCTGGTGCCCCCCTGCCTGTTCAGATAGGAGACCACTGTGGTGTTGTCTGAGCGCACCATCACGTGTCTCCCCTGCAGCTGAGGAGCAAAGTGCAGCAGCACTCTGTGCACTGCCTCCATCTCCAGCAGGTTGATGTGACGGGCTGAGTCCGACCAGCAGCCTCCTACAGAGCTCTGGCCGAGGACCCCGCCCCATCCTTCGAGCGACGCGTCCGTGAACACCTCCACGTGAGACACGGCGCAGGCCAGAGTCACTCCGTCCCGCAATAGACCCGGAGTGAGCCAGAACCTGATGTCCGATGCTGCCACTTGGGGAACCCAGATCAGCCTCCCCCCGTCCCGGGAGGGGTGAAGCCTGAGGCGCGAGAACCACCTCTGAAAATTCCTCATGTGGAGAAGGCCTAGCCGCACCACAGCATGAGCCGCCTCCATCATTCCCAGCAGGGACCTGAGGCGCCGAGCGGGGACTCTGGGGCCCGCCAGAACCTCCCGGGCCAGACGGGTAATGTTGATCCGTCTGTCCACGGACAATGCAGCACGGAATGTCACCGAGTCTAACTGCAGACCGAGATAAATCATGCTTTGGGCTGGCTGCAGCTTGCACTTCTCCCTGTTCACCACAAAGCCCAGACGCTGTATGTGGGACAGGACCCAGTGCGTGTGGCTCACGGCCACTTCCCTGGATGAGGCCAGAATTAACCAGTTGTCTATGTAGGTTAAAATTCTTACCCCTGCGCGTCTGAGCGGCTCCAGTGCTGCCTCCACGCATTTTGAAAAAGTCCGAGGCGCGAGTGCGTAGCCGAAGGGGAGACGGCAGTACTCGTAATTCCTCTCTCCCACTGCGAAGCGCAGAAACCTCCTGTGTTCCGGCACTATGGGCAAGTGGAAGTACGCATCTGTCAGGTCTATGGAGGACATCCAATCTCCCTGCCTGACACACTCGAGGAGCTGCTTTGTGGACAGCATCCGAAACTGCCGTTTGGAAATACACTCGTTCAACACGCGCAGATCCAGAATGGGACGCACCCCGCCTGACTTCTTTGGCACTAAGAAGTAAGGGGAGTACAGCCCCCTGGTGGCGTCCTGCGGGTCTACCTCCACTGCCGCGCCTCGACTCAGCAGAGAGGAGACCTCCGCTTGCAGTGCCTCTAATGATCCCCGTACCTGAGAGCGTGCTGCCCGTACGCCTCGGAATGGTGGTGGCTTTCTGGAGAATTGCACTGCGTAACCCCTGCGCAACGTCTTCTCCAGCCATGGATTCGTCAGCAAACCCTGCTCCCTCTAGATGCTGTAGAAGTCTGTGAGGGGCGGAACGGGAGCTGGAACACGAGACGTCACTGCCCCGCCCTCTCCTGGTGTTCCTAGCAGGGAGGGGGGATGGACGAAAGGGCCGGGGGGCCCCCTGCGTCACACCGAGAGCGCCGGGGGCGGTCACGTGTCCTGCAGACCCGACGTCATAAGTACGGGACTGCTCATTTCACGTGACTCGGCTGCTGTGCCCCCCCTGGCTCTAGCCTCATGGAGGGGGGGGCGAGCCCCTGGAGTGGGAGACCCCGTGTTAGCCTTGTAGCTCAGAGATGCTAACACGCGTTCGGCCGAAGCACACACATCACTACTCACCAGATCCCTCCGCCTGACCTCTCTCTCTGAGGGCATAGCATGAACCAGAGAACCGGAGCTCGTAGCTCGCGTAGCGCACTGCACACCCAGCTCTGGGGGCTGCAGGCCTAGCGAAGCAACGTTATGTGCTCGAGAAGTAACACAATCAGAATTCACATTATTTGACATGTTACATACCCCCAAATGAGACTCAGACAGCGAGTAATGACGAAATGCCGGTGGGCCTTTATTGAAAGAATTCTTCCCACCCCGACCTCTGCCATAGGGAGGTCGGCGGTGGGTGCGTTGGTCCCGCGAGCCTCCCCTGGGCCTGTCTGGACCCGGGGGCCTCGTCGAGGGGGGATGATAGGCCTCAGAGCGTGGATATGGGCCAGGGCGCCACCCGGGCGAACGCTCCCTGCCTCTGTCCCGGCTCCGCGCTGGTGGGCGGGCCTCGCGCCTCGGCGCTAGGTGCTGGGCTAGGCTAGCCGAGTCCTTGGCTGCGGCCTCCAGTCTAGCCACCAGGGTCTGCATGTCCGGGCCGAAGAGGGACGTCTGGGAAACAGGCAGGTCCAGCAGCTGCCTCTTCTCCGCCTCCCTGATGTTAGCTAGCCCAAGCCAAAGGTGCCTGGCCCCGACTTGAGCTGCTGCCATGGAGCGGCCGCCATCCACAGCTAGCGCCTGGCACATGCGCAGGATCGCCGCTGAGGTGGTCCTCGCCTGTGATAAGGTGTCTCCACTGAGCGCCTGGCCAGAAGAGAGCGACCTATCCAGGGCCCCCGTGATGAAGGCCATGTTGTTCGCCACAGCAACGACCTGTGCCGCATTGGCGTAACATCTGTCCAGCATAGCCAAAGACGTCCTGTCCCGCTCGGAGGGAAGGAGAGGTCTGGTGCCGGGCCACACGGATGCGGAGGGGTGCAGGGCCATGCGGACCGAATCCTCGATGTCCGGGACCCCGCCGTTCCAGGACCAGTCCTGCACGCTGCAGTACATGCCGTAGCCCAAAGCGGGCCTCTTGGCCGCTAGGGGCTTTGGCCACTCACGTGTCGGGTAATGGACGATCGGGTCCATCCGCGGGCACAACGTGGGCTGTATCCGCCTCCTCTCTCGAGTGGTGGCATAACCAGAGGTGAAGTCCTCCGCCCTCTGGGTCGGCTGCGGTGGCAGGGGGGCATCCATGATGGCCGCCGCGGAGGAGTAGAGCCCAGGCATGTGGTCCAGTGGGAAGCGGTCCGGCTCCGGGTTCGAGACCACCTCGTCCAGGGTGAGGAGGGAGCCGACCTCCGAAACCTCTCCGTCCTCACAGTCACCCCACTCCGCGGGCACGGGTGGAAGGTCGAGTGGGGCCCAGTCAGTCTCAGACTCCTCGTCCTGAGAGGAGTCCGGACGGGGCGCTGCAGCGGCGAGGAACGCACGCCTGCGTTCGCTCTCCTCCCTGGGGAGAGCGAGACACGAGGTGCAGGTGGCGCTCAACGCCGCATGGCCCGGGGTCAGGCACATGAAGCAGCTGGAGTGCTGGTCCGTGCGCTGGAGCCTGACTCGACACGTCGAGCAACGACGACGTCCGACGCCGGATGGCGAAGGGGAACTCGGACGAGCATCAGAAGACATCTTTTTTCTCTGGAAGTGAGTACTGTGGTAGATCTCAATCGGCGCCAGAGTGAAAGAGGGGGTGCGGCCTTGTGCAGGGGCATTTATAGAGGACGGTGGCTGGTGATTGGAGCAAATTATTTTGATCTCTCTGGCGTGTGACCTGGGGGTCACGAGTGATATCCACTAGCGAAGTCCTAAGGGACGTAGCACCATGACGTAGAACCCTCCATCAACACAATCCTTTACAAACTCTTTAAACTGTGTCCAAGACCGTCCTCTCTGATCACTGTAAATAAAAACTACAGCGCCACAGACTAATTGGAATAATGACATTTGATAACTTCATTGGGAAATCATTACAGACAATAAAAGGGTCTCTGTGATTTAGTAAAACCACAGCTTCAGCTCGGACTGCCGATAAAATCTGATTATCCCGGGCATCTGAGCCATCGCTCTCTCACTGAGATTAAACCTTTGACTTGGTTCAAACTAAACTCTAAAAAAATGTGTTTGTTCTTTTTGCCAAATTCACAACATTCTCCTTTAATGAAATATATGTAATACATCTAATACTAATCTTATCAAAGTACATCCATGAAGCTAAATTCAGTGAAAAATACCTTCTTCCTTTTCTGTTTTTCAACCAATTCGGCCTGAAAAAGTAAAACTAAAAACATAGAAATGAGTTTGAACAATCACATTGATGTTAGTGTATTAGCAAACCCCTGTATATCTGTATATTTATTTTGTCAATATTGGAATATTAATGTGTATTTTGTGTCCTTCCACTGTTGAGGAATCTACTTGTGTTTCTCTGGAAAACTTAAGACAATTATTTTGGCAAAAAGAACATTTTATTCATGTAAGAGTTTCAATGTGTTACTTATAAATCAGTAAACTTTTATTTGTATAGCACCTTTCCTACACAAGACCTGTGTCTCTGTGTCTATATGTACCTGTATCTCTGTGTCTATATGTACCTGTGTCTCTGTGTCTATTTGTACCTGTGTCTCTATGTCTATCAATCAATCAATCAACGTTTATTTGTAGAGCGCCTTTCCTACACAAGGCAACGCAAAGCGCCTCACAACCCATATGACATCATGCATAAATCATCAAACATTAGAATTTAAGTAAAGATAAAAAGACAGATTAAGAGCACAAGATATATTAAAAACATAAAAAATAAAATCACACAAGTAGTTAAAAACCGTAAAACATTAAAATCACATGGAATTAAAATCATAAATAGTCATAGTGCATTAAAAAGATTAAAGATAAAAACAAATGTAAAATCATGCACAGCTAAAAAGAACTGTTTTCAGTCCAGTTTTAAAAACTGCCAGAGTAGACGCCTGTCTCACATTCTCGGAAGACTGTTCCAGACTCTACAAGACTCTCACAACAGACATCAGGCATAAATCATAGACACTAACATCTACATAAATATTAGAAATATGATTAATATTTATTTTTATTAATCATAAGGTCTGAGTCTGTGGGTCTGAGGGAGTGAGGAGGTCTGAGGGACTGAGGAGGTCTGAGGGACTGAGGAGGTCTGAGGGACTGAGGAGGTCTGAGGGAATGAGGAGGTCTGAGGGAGTGAGGAGGTCTGAGGGACTGAGAAGGTCTGAGGGAGTGAGGAGGTCTGAAGGAGTGAGGAGGTCTGAGGGAGTGAGGAGGTCTGAGGGAGTGAGGAGGTCTGAGGGAGTGAGGAGGTCTGAGGGAGTGAGGAGTTTATGATTATAATGCTATTAAGTCTTGTTCAGCACTTTGAGTTGCCTTGTGTATGAATTGTGCTATACAAAAAACTTGCCTTGCCTAAAAATATAAATCATTAAAAATCAACCATGTGTGCCTTTATGTATAACAATAATAAAATGGAACAGGCTCTTTAGAAATGAAGTAAGTAAGTAATGTTAATTAATATAGTGCCTTTCTCAGACCAGAGTCACAAAGCGTTTTACAATTATTATTTTTTGGGCATTAGTCTCTCACTCCACATAGAGATGGGAGCAGGGCGAGTACAGGAGGCACAGACCTATTGTACATGTTTTTAGTGGTAGGGGAAACCGGAGCACCCGAAGTAAACCTACGCAGACACGGAGAGAACATGCAAACTCCACTCAGAGACCACGACAAACTGAGAATTGGATCAGACTTTTTGAACAATATGGGAACATTAAAAATCTTCATATGTTTCCAAACTCTGTGCTGTGGGTCTGTTGTTGACCACACGATGTAAAAGACAAGAGCAATTTCAGAAAGAGAAAATAACGTGGACCGTGTGAGCCAAACCCAGAGAGCGAGGCCATGTGTCATCCTGAATGTTCCGGGACGTCACACCGTCTCAAAGCAGTGAACGGAGCCAAATTAATGGCAGGCTGTGAACCCAGGTGTGGAATATGAGGCTAAGTAACTAAAGTGTGATGAATGGCTCACATTTCTACCAATCTTCCCTTTTTTCTGCCCGAATTTTGTGTCCCAGTGTGAGGAAAAATCAATGTGGGTTTTGTACGAACAAATAATGCAAATAAGATTCATATTCGTCATTTTAGTTTGAAGTTTGCAGTTGCATTAAAAAGATGCTGCTCCAGATTTAGCTCCAGCTTCTTTCCACCAGCCAGGACATCTGACATGATTGTCCTACAAACCAGAACAGTTCATCTTTATTGGATTTTGGTTTTGTTGGGCCATGTATAAAACATTATAAACTGTACACAATACAATTTACAATACAATTTATTCTTGTATAGCCCTAGGTCACAACAGAAGTCATCTCAGAGGACTTAACAAAACCATTGAAATCACCAACACAAGTCAGAGAATCAACAGTTAACACATGGAGAATATAAAGCACACACAGAAGAAAATGTCCATACATGTTGTAGAATGCTAAAGTGTCCTGATCATCACCAATCCTTTCTGTTGGACACTAACTGTCCAACAAGACCCTCCTGCATCGACAAGGAAAAACTCTTAAAAAACCCAGTGGGAAAAAGTGAGAAACCTTGGGGAGAACTAGGGAAACCCACAGGGAGGGAGACCCATATGAGAAAGGGATCCGCTCCTCCGGACGGACAGGCTAAACTGTACATTTCTGGCCTTTAAAGTCGACTCAAATTAAGTCAAGAGAGAAGAAATAAAAACTCTCAGTGGCTTGTTGTTTGAACATGACTAACTCCAACCTTTGCCAAAGTCGTTTGGTTACACCAGAAATAAAATCACAGATAAAACCTGCGTCAAATGCACACAGCGACGATATGAAACTACTGCTCCAGTGTGGTCAGGTTTGTGCGAAGGCTCGGGTCCTTCCTGCCGGTCCTTCCTGCGAGTCCTGGGGGAGGCCGCTGTGCCATGGAGCCAGCACAAAGGTGGATTATCTGGCGTCCTATCCCTGCGTCTGGCCTTTACATCACAACTAGCGCCTGGGGTCCACTGCGATCCCACCAATTACCCTGTCACTCACCGCCTTTCCTCACGCCGTCCGGACTCCGGCTCTCTAATGGAGAAATGCATGAAGCGCCTCTTTGCCTGCGATGTCTCTGCATTTACCCACAATCCCCTCTGAGAGAATCTGATGTCAACTAGAAAAGCTCCACAAGTGAGCCAAGAGAAAAAACAAAAAGCCGTCTCCGTCGAGCGGCTTCACCAACACCAATCACACCATTTAACCGCCGTCCTCTGCAGATTGTGATTAATTTTCAATTAATGCTCGCTGTAATTAATCATCTACTTCAAGGTCTTTCTTCAGGCAATGTTCGGGATGTTATATTTCTGAAAAGCAGGTATAACTCATTTGTCAAGATGTGGATTTTAACCATGTTTTTTATTCTTAACGAGCTTTGGACGTAATTCTAAAGGATGTTTTAAGTTTTCTCCTCATTCATCGCTGTTGGATTCATTCTTAATCAATCAATCAACTTTTATTTGGAGATTCCTTTCCAACACAAACCAACACATCAGGCATCAATCAGAAACATTAAAATATATAAACTTTAAAAATATGATTAAAAACAAGCAGTACAATCACAAGAGATTTTATAAACATAGAGAATAAAATCACTCAAGTCATTAAAACATTAAGATTATTCAAATCATAAATAGCAGTTCATTAAACAGAGTAAAGATAAAATCCTTGAGAACAGTTTTTAACCTGGATTTGAAAACTGCCAGAGAAGTGGCCTGTCTCACATTTTCAGGAAGACTGTTCCAGATTGTAGCTGGAACAGGACGGAATATTTTTTGTGTTCCCGCAGCAGACTGTCGCCCATCATGACGGAGTGTGGACCCAGAGAGAGATCGTGGCCTCCTCTCAGGGCAGGTTTTATTCTTTATTATAATACTTCAGAATGTCACTTTATCTACTTAACCTGCCCCTATTTGTATATAACTGTGCACTGTAAATATATATAGATACATCGATATATAATTTGTTATATATTATAATAAAGCATTTACAGCTAAGAAACATAGCAGATACTGAAGATGAAGATGAAAAGATTCTTTATTGGTCCCACAGTGGGGAAATGTCAGTGTTGCATCACAAGTTACAGAACAGTAGGAATGAGGAGCACACAGCACAGGATAAATGAACAATAACTCAGTACTAATTCAAGTTTGTGTAAACTCTAGTCGTACAGGGATTATTCAGAGTGCAATCGTTAAGTACAGATGATGGGTGAGCTGCCTTTGTTTTTTATACTAATATAAACAAATTAAAATCTGTAACTCTAGAATCAAAGAAGTAAAAAACAAAAACAGCAACATGAAATATCCCCACAAACAAAAAAAGGATATTTCATCTTATCTTAGACTATATGTTAAGTATTCATCTTCTTCCATTTACAAATCTGGAAGGTCCCTGTCTCGAAGAGTCCAGAGTGACTCCCTCTGAAGAACACTGTGCTTTGGCATTTGCCTTTTTATTGTATTTTGTTGATTCTCCACCAGCTCTGATCCTTCTCCGCTCTGAAAGACCCTGCATTATTCATGGGTCTACAGCAGCACGGCAGAGAGCAGCCAGATCTGTTCTAAAGCCTTTCATTACAGAGAATGTAGGACATCAATATATTATGTGGTAGTGTTTAATGATAAGGAGGAGATAGGAATGTAGAATGAAGCTGTTGAATGTGGATATAGGGCACGATGTGATCACAAAAGACCTAGAGCAAGGCATTTTAAGAGGTCGTTCTATTCCGAGTGTCTCCTTAGGAAAAGCACTGAGCGTCATGTGGGGCGGGCGTGTTTCCAATCAGGGCTTCCCCGAGCATAAAGCTGACATATTTCACATAATAGATGAGGGCGAGGAAGTTCAGATGTGAATAAGTGCAGAGTTTAGTGTGTGTTTTCCGCTGCTCGTACATGTCGCCTGCTGTAGCCTGGAGACGGAGGCTGCGCTCGTCTCTCATTGGCTGTAATCCCATCCTACGGCCTCGGAACACCATGTGAATAACCCGATCAACCTGAACCCATGATTCTATCACTTCATTATCAATGGAACTGGACCCACTTTGAGACGCTCTGGGTCAGTCAGTGTGTGTACTTTAAATTATTAGAGCAATCTGTAGCTAATCAGCAACTCATACAAGTCATGGAGCTTTCGCGAAAGTTCACCGTGGTAGACCCGGCTGTTGCTGCCAGGCCACAGGCTGCTCTTCCTCGACTCATCAATACCAGCAACGCCCACACCCAGTCAACCAATAACCACCAGGACAGCAAGTTAAAAGCCGGAGACGCCCACTTCCCGATCTTCTGAAGTCTGCAAGCTTCTGAAGCCTGCAAGGTGCATGTCGCTAACGCACCTGTTCGCAAATGCATGCGTTGTTCTGGAGGGGTCGCTTTCTGCTCACGTGTTGCTCGTGCGCGTGGCCCGGCTGTCCTCAGTCTGGCTGCTCGTGGTCTGCTCCTCCTCCGCGTCCCTGCACCTGCTGTGGTTCGCGTGTCTCCACTGCTCTCCTCCTCTGCGGGCTCTTTCTGCGGGCTGCTCCGCGGGGCCCCTCCGCGGTTCTGTGCTGCTCGTTCCTCGTGGTCTGCTGCCGCGCGCAGACGGTCAGGCGGTGCCGTGCGTGTCCCTGCCTCCGACTGGCGGTGCCGCGTTGTCCCGTTGCTTTCCCAAGTCTCCTGGCATGTGAGTACAGTGAGAGTGCCGACCGCGGACAGTTTAATCCCGGAGTCTAGGCTGCAGGTGGCTGGTTTTTTGCCCTACGCACTTGACTGCAGGCGTCAGTCTTCGCCCGTGCTTGGTCTGCAGGCTCCGTTTTACACGTGTTGAGCTAACTGAGGGACAATGCATCTTAAATGGCATCAATCTCCAATGTCTGAGGGATATAAGAGGAGCAATGTGCATTAATTCAGATTCATGTTCTGCCACTTGCAGTAAAACCACGTTGGAAAAAATGTGCAAAGACAACCCCATCGTGCTCCAGACGGCACACACAGAGCTCTTGCACGGCGCCATCTTTACAGCATCAATCTCATTACTCGCAAGTCACTATTGTTAAATGATGTATTTAAATTCGTCTATCTGCAGGAGGAAGGAGGGGCCATGCATTTAAATAGCTAGGTCACTAGTATTAAACTGGGTAACTAAACTGCAGTTGTTGCATTTCGAAAGTGCAGCAGAAAGAAAAGGGGCCCAATGTGAATATGCAATGGGTTTGAAGTGGAGCTGGAGCTAATGAACGCATGGATCAGTGATCGTTCATGCGTATCTGCCATAACCAAAGCAGCAAGTTGGCTCCAGGGGACATCTGTTTCTCGCATGGGAATGTTTCGGATTCGGGTTGATTTATTTCCTCAGGCTCTTAAACAACCGTGGGCATGGTTCTCTGACCGCCGCTGCTGCGGTCCCTGCTGCCGTTCCTACTGATGCCTGATCCCGCTGCTGCCTATTCCTGCTGCTGCCTGTCCCTGCTGCCTGCTCCTGCTGCTCCTACTGCTCCTACTACTACATGTGCCGCTGCTGCTGTTCCTGCCGCTGCCGCTCCGCAGGCTCCCAGGCTGCACCTATCTCTACGGCTCGGCTCTTCAGACACGTACGTAACCTGGCTCACGGAGACAAGCGGCGCACGCTGGCGTGACACGTCTGTTGTTCGTATGAATTGCATTGTGCTGCTGCTGCTTGCTGCTTCTGCTGCCGCTACTGCTGCTATTGCTGCCGCTGCTGCTTCATACTGCATCTGCTGCCGTGCTGCTGCTGCTTCTTTACTTTGACACCTCTCTTCACTGCGCATCTCTTTTACTGAAACACTAAACAGCTTCAACTCTATTCTACTGCGGTGGCTTGATACAGGATTATTGCTGTTATTATCTACGGATGCTGCAACCGCTGCTGCTGCTGCTGCTTCATGCTGCTACCGTTACTGCTGCTACTGCTGCCGCTGCTGCTTCATACTGCATCTGCTGCCGTGCTGCTGCTGCTTCATGTACTTGACATCTCTCTTCACTTCGCATCTCTTTTACTGAAACACTAAACAGCTACAACAATATTCTACTGCTCTGGCTTTGATACAGGATTATGGCTGTTATTATCTACGGATGCTGCAACCGCTGCTGCTTCATACTGCTACTGCTGCTACTGCTAATGCTGCTTCTGCTGCTTCATACTGCTACCGTTACTGCTGCTGCTACTGCTGCGCTGCTGCTGCTGCTGCTTCATGTACTTTGACATCCCTCTTCACTTCGCATCTTTTTACTGAAACACTAAACGGCTACAACAATATTCTACTGCTCTGGCTTTGATACAGGATTATTGCTGCTATTATCGACGGATGCTGCAGCTGCTGCTGCTTCATACTGCTACTGCTGCTGCTGCTTCATACTGCTACTGCTGCTGCTTCATACGGCTACTGCTGCTACTACTGCTGCTGCTGCTTCATTTACTTTGCCATCTCTCTTCACTTCGCATCTCTTTTACTGAAACCCTGAACAGCTACAACAACATTCTACTGCTGTGGCTTTGATACAGAATTATTACTGTTATTTTCTAAGGACGCTGCTGCTGCTACTGCTGCTGCCGCGGCTTGATACAGGACTTTTGCTGTTATTATCTGAGGCTACTGCTGCTGCCGCTGCTGCTACTGCTACTGCAACCCATTCTCTCAGAAGCTTATCCTGCTTCTAATGGATGCAGCCCGGCTGAGTATGCCGCGCTGCGCCGGACTCGCACCTATGCTCCCAGGGTCGCTTCGGCGGTCGTGCTTCATCTCTCTACTGAATCTTCTGATTCTATCAGATGCAGCTGGCCAAGTAGCTGCGCTGAGCCGTCAATCGGACTCCTAATCAAAGGCATCCATACCTGGTTCTTCACTCTTCTGATCACAGGCTCCCCATCATGCTGCCCATCCTGCAGCGGCGCTGAACTCCGGCTCATCTTCCAAGTACATGTCTGCCCTCCTCGCAGCATCTTCTGCTCGCCTTCTGTGGCTTCTCTGCATAAGCGTTTCACCACTGCTCACTCAACCTTCAATGCGGTCCGAGACACGGCTTCCCGTCCTATCCTACTGGCCTAATTATCTACTCTCCAACCCAAGATTCTAAGCGTAAAGGC